AGCGGCAGCCCGCGGTCCCCCAGCCCGCTGTACGGCGGCGTCGGGGGTGTCTCGCTGTCCCCAACAGCAACACGAAGACAAAAAACAAAGGCACCCCTGACCTGCGGGGTGTTGGCACAAAGGCTCATTTCCTCACGTTCCCTCAACACTTTGAAGGCATCACCTGGCTGATTAAAGATACTGATAGTGGGGACTTGGATAGCTTTTTCCTGTAGGAGCCGTACATCAGGGGGTAGTGCGGAAGCACAGCCAGCCCGGTGTGGCGGTACCACAGGCCTCATAAAATCAAGGCATTTCAGAGGCAATGAACTGGGATGAATTTATTCTGTTTATTTCAAAAGAGATGAATGGGGGAAAACGCAGCCAGAATGGACCAAAAAAATGACATTTGCAGACGGAGGTGAACTGTGAAATACAGGGCAGAATGAAAGAACGAACTGCAGTAAACCAAGGGGCTTTATAAAAAGCTATAAAAATGGGCTCAGGTGATTCCCATAGGTGTATTAATTCAGGCCTTTTGAAGCATCAGTTTTTATCACAGAATCCTCAAAGCCAAGGTTGATGTTGGTCCTTAGAAGCCCATTCTCATCCCAAAGATGTCTGATTATGAGCGTGTTTAATCCTGATCAAGAAATAGCAAGAAGCCACCTGCTTATTTATAGCCTGGTAAGGAGCAGAGCTGGCAACGGACGTGCTGATGTGAAACCGGCTTCACCGTGCAAAGAACGTGCCCAAGTGGAGGAGCGTTGCTAACAGCTCGCAGGTGCAGTGCTGACGGGTCTGTGACCGCGTTCTGCTGAAGGACCGGAGGAACTATGGAGAAATCCCATTTATTGTACGGACAGAAGATGGTTCCAGCTCACTCCGTCCAAGGAAACGACTGAGAACGAGTGACAGCACAGAGGGTGTAACTCTTTCTTTGCAAGCAGACTGGTTTAGTGCCTGTACCGAAGGAATTACTGCACTAAGAACGAGTACACTTTGTCTGCACCATGCACTTCATCCGTCCGTACTGCACTAAGAAATGACTTTCAGAGAGGAGGGGGCAATACTGAAGAAAAGGTTTAGGAGCTTTTTGGTTGTTGTATTTGCCTGTAGCATAAATGGATTTGTCTTCCCACCTTTTCTTAACTGACCCCATCTCTGTGTTGTCTTGCTTCCCTTCTCCTTTTCTTGTCCTCAGGGGACTACAAGTATTAGCTTTAAATACGAAGCAGACAGTTAAAGTCTGATCTAAGACATTTCTCACTGGCCAGGCAGTGTCAGCCAATTAACAGTGTGAATTGTGGAAGTTTCAGTACTTGGTTAAAAATAAGCACTCAGAGAACAGTAACTAGGATACCGCACAATTCGCAGGAGTGTGGAATGGGACCCTTGGCAGTTAACAAGCCTAAAGACAAAAGAGAATTAAAAAAATAAAACTCAACTGACCTGTCTGTATGAACGTCACAAAGATGGAGATGAATAAATCAGCTTGTTGATGCGATAAACCAGTCATTTTATAAATAATACTGCACCTAGCGTACAACTGCTGATAGTCCTGTACTATGGAGAGAGCGTCTTTCTGGTTTGACTGCTAGACACATTGCACTGATTAAGTCAGGCTTCCCAACTCATTAGGAGAAATCCCCAATTACATCTTCGGACTCCCTCAGCCCTCACGTCGGTGGCTCCCTGAGGGAAGGGCGGCGATGGAGCAGAACATAAATGCCTTTTTTTTTCTTTTTGTCTTACAGCGCTTTTGGTGTGTCTTACTTAAAGAAGTAAAACACAAGAGCCTTACCTAAAGTAGATCTGTTTCTACTAACGAGCCAGCAATGGTAGCCAAACAGGAACATAAGGCTTACGAAGAACATGACCGCCACAAAGAGAAGGAAGAGGACGTGAAATTTGGAACGTCCATTGGTCAGTTCACCCTGGAAAGAAAAGCAACACAGAACAAGTGATAGGAACAAATGAAAGCTGGAAATTCTTTGTTCCTAGAGAAAAGAAAGAGATCCTCTACAACTCCTATCTGGAGTTCTCAAACTTGTATACGCAAAAGTCACACCTTACTATAAAAAGCAGGAGGAGACAAAGAAATGATCTGGTTCACTTCCCCTCCCGTAACCAAAGCAGAAAGAGTGGGGTTTTGCTACTACCTTTTTGTCTGTAACAGAGCCCGTGCAATCATAGCTTCCCACCTGGGCACAAGCAACGTGCACAGCCTGTGCCCACAGGGAAACAAGCAGGCACAAGCTCCTGAAGCCCTGCTCACGTTCTGCTGACTGTTCGCGTTGCCTGTCCATATACGAAAATTCTGCACCTCTTGCAATATACGGCGTGCCAAGGAAACCTGGCCTCCGTAGCTACAGCAATCGGGCAGCATTAGAACTGAGCACAGGTGGTTTGGAGGAGTTTAAAAGCCAAGCGGGATCCTACAAGCAGAAGAAACACTTATTTCCTTCTGCAGCAGCAGAGCCGAGTGCCAGAGATCCTCATGAGCATCCATCCGCAGCCAGGCCGTGGGGGCCTCAAAGTACAACAATGACTTCTCAGCCGTTGCACGCCCCGTATGCGCAGCCACAGAGCTCTGGTCTCTGTGCCTCTCTTGTAACCTACGAGACAATT